TGTCATCAGTGCCCCTCGACTTTGGACCGACCTGCTGGAGGAGAAGTGGGTTGCAGAATCAGTGACTTGCTTTTAAGTTATTTTGTCTTTTTATGGCCTTAATTTCTTGTATTTGTATTTATTTATACTCAGTGTTGTCTTGTTTTGTTTGGCCTTATTGTTCGGCATCATTATTATTATCATTAATGTATAATTTATCAAGTAAGTAATCAAGTAATTTGGATCACTGGTAACTGTAATGGTGGACGTTTTTTACTGATCTGCCCACAATAGTTTTCTCCTGGGTTAGACACGGGACAGGGGGAGTAAGTATTGCAGAATATTTATGCTCTTATCTCTTTGTTAAACCCCCGGGGCTCCAGATATCCATTTCCATGTCTCCTCCCCTGCCTCCTTCTTCCCTCTTCCTCTCCTTCCTTCTCCTCTCAGTCTATCTATCCCTCTCTTGTTCTTGTCTGAGGGGGTCAGAGAGGAAGACAGTCAGACAGGGAGGAGATGTTACTGATGCTCTGTTACTCACTCTCTCTCTCACACACACACACACACACACACACATGAGCAGGCACAGCTGAACTTGTAGGCCCAGCAAGCTCAGTGGCTCAAATGAGAGCACACATAGAAACACACAACCAAAATCTTTGACTCCACAACACCACAGACATGCACGCACACACCCACGCATACACACACACACACACACACACACACACACACACTCTCGGACTGATAAGACACACAGAAGAGAGGAGTGAAAACACACACACACCCCTCCTGGCACCCACATGCTCAGAGCCCAGCAGAGAGCGGCGAGCGGGGTGGAAATTCTCATGAAAGGAGTTGTATATTTGGAGAAGACATATCATTAAGATAGGCGGAGGGAAGAGGGAAGGGAGGGAAGGATGCGCCGAAACTTTCCATCTGCTCTTTTAAAGAACATGTTATTGCTTTACTCACTAAAGGTCTCTCTCTCGCTCTCTCCACCCGCTGAGCCACTGCCAAAGACCATTAAGACACCAGAATCACTCACAGACAATATTAAAACTGGGTGACTTGTTGCTGAGCGAGAAACTAAATCACAGTGTTTTGACAGATAGGAGAAGGAGGACAAAAACAGTTTTGATGTACTAGATTTCAGTCCATCTCCTTCTGGTAACTCTTCCATTAAGTGTGTTATTTTGTATGGTAAAACTCTGGCACATGTTGCACATGTAGGAGGTTTGTATCAGGACAGGATGCAGTGGTGGATGATGTTTTCAGATCCTTTGGTATAAATAGCAACGCCGCAATGTGAAAACACTCAATTACAAGTATAAGTCCTGCACTCGCATTTTTATCTTAGTGAAAGTTGTGCTCTCAGCAAAATGGAGTGGCGTTAAAGGAGCAGTGTGTTGGATTTAATGGCATCTAGCAGTGAGGATCGCAGATTGTAACCAGCTAAAACTTCCCCTGTGTGCCAAGTGCAAACTCCTGGTTAGAATCCTTTAGTGCTCATTGTTCAGGAGGTTTTTACTGGGAGCTGAATTATTGGCAGAGGTGTCCTCTTCAAAACAAACAGACCAGGTGATTGAAACCGGTAAAAACATTGAATAAAGCAGTTTTACATTAGAAATCAGTGCTGCTACTGTGTGCTCCCCTTTTGTCTCTGCTAACTTAAGATCCAGAAGTTCAGGAGGTTTTTACTGGTAGCTGAATTATCCACAGAGGTCTCTTCCTGTTCTAAACAAATGAACCCAGTGATTTAAACATGTCTCTGATTGTCTGGTGGCTAGACTAAGCTCATCCTGGAGGGGCTTGCTAACTATATGGCCTATGCAAAAACTCAGATGGCCTTATCTAGAGCCAGTGTTTGGTTTGTCCATTCTGGCTTTCTGTAGAAACATGGCAGAGCAATATCTCTGTGGACGAGGTCCCGCTTCCTATGTAGATATAAACGGCTCATTCTATGGTAACAAAAGCACAATGATTCTTATTTCCAGGTGATTATACACTCAAGAAAACTTATATTCAATTTCTGCCAATACATCCCCCTGAATCCTACACACTGGCCCTTTAATGTGTAAACTACATTTTCATATTGTACCAATTTATTTTGTTTTTTATGTAACTATTAATCATATTATAAATACAAGCACCTCAAAATTGTACTTGTTTCCCTACTTGAGTAAATCTACTCGGTTACATTCCACCCCTGGCAGGATGACTGCTGAACAGAGCACACTCATGCAGCCAAGCACATTTTTCTCCCAGTGCTGCTGTCTGAGATTGCGTGCGTGTCTGTGTGTGTGTGACTAGTTGTGTATATCAGTGTCAGTGTGTGTGTCCTGGGAAGCTAGAGGGAGGGAAGCGCTGAAACAGGGTGTATTTGTGCTGTACTGTGTCCCCTGGCGTGGCCGCAGCCCCCCAATATCACGAGGCACACACTCCTGCCTCCATTGATCTATGACACGTAGAATGGACACATTGATGTTTTCATGTTCAATCAGCTTTGTTTGTTGAGGAGAAAGACTTAAAAGACATATTCACATGATTAGCTTCGGCATGTCCGCATTGAGCGTGTGTGTGTGTGTGTGTGTGTGTGTGTGGTGTCTATATGTAAAGTGCTCAATGCGTCAAAACATCAGATGACACAAGCCCTAAAGAATATTTTCTCACTTTCTACACACGCGAGCAGGCGAGTGGCGCCCCAGATTTCCAGTTATTTTAAATCTTATATCTGATCAGTCTACAGTATGGAGGACATTTTGTGCACACACACATACACAATATATGAATGGACAGACTGTTCACATGCATGTGCGCACACACACATACGCATAAAGGAGCACAGAAATGGTTAGAGGAAAGAAGTGGACACAAATTTGGCCAGAGGCGACAATGCAATTATAACTTAGCGCATGAAATTAGCCTCCTTGTGTTCCCATTCACCACAACCAATCACATGGACAAGAGAAGGCTGAGAAAAATCACCCTCTCCTCTCTCTGCTGGCTTGTCCCGGCATTAAACACAATCCTGTTCATTATGCGCTGAAAAAACTGTGATGAAAAAATGAAAACACTGGCGCCACACTGATTTTGCACGTCTGATTGACTGTTGAGTGTGTGTGCGTGTGTGTTCTTGTTAGACATACTCGATATATTAAACAGTAGCCATAAGTGTGGCGCCTATTGTTAGTCACTAGCACGGAAGGATAACTGAATAAAAGATGGATGTTACTATCATTTAAATATATAAACTCTAGTCCCCGAAAAATGATTTTGTGTTGGCGCTGAACAGCGAAAACACACGCGGCCACTCCCTTATTTTGTTGTTGTTTTGCAAGTTTTATGTAAGAAAAAAAGATGAAGGGGAATTTTGGGTATTGCTCGGGTTTAAATGTGTGTGTGCGGCTACTGCTACAAGATGAGTGGTGTCTTGACGCGTTTTCAAGGAAGTAAAAGAAGCCTAAATTGTGTTTTTTCTTTTACGATCAATTGTTTGAATTGATATGGAGATCATGGAGAAAGAAGCGAACAACATAGTTTTTTAATTTAACGGTGATGTGACAAAAATCCCTGCATACTCCGTGATTGCAGCTCTGATTGGCAACATGAGAACTCTTTGCAGAATAGATCATCCAGTGGTCTTTAATTGCTTATTTATGTACCTCTTCTTCCTTTCCTAAATGTATACATAGCATTTTTGGTACATGCATAGTTTCCAGTTTGTGCTTTGCTTTCAACATCTATTCTCTCCCCCGCTCCGCTGCTCCTCCCTCCTCTCCTCCTCTTTTATGGCCTGCCTATGGTGTTCAGCACAGTCCATGTCTTGTCCTGGTCATGAACAGCACATTGTCCTCCACGAACAAGGCTCTGTGCAACCGTGATACCCCCCCCCACCCCAACTCTAATATAAATCAACACACTCCCGGAGTTCACATTTATCCAATTTATTCATTCTATATATTTAAACAGGTGGCTTGACTTTAACTGTTCTCAGCCGGCTTCGGGACGAGCGGGTGCAGTCGGTCGTTTGTATTTAAACACTGGGCTTAAAGTTTGTTTGGGTTATCATCCCCACAATTGAGCTGCTGTCCGTCGTGCATTCAGCGTCGTATTTATGAGCCTTCAGATGCATACAAAAAAATCTCAGAGTAAGGCGAAGTAATATATCCTCTTTTTTGAACACATTTCCAAAACAGTGTCCACCTCTAATGTCAAGGTAATGTTGATTAAAAAGAATTAAGAGAGTTTAGACAATAGATAAATAAAAGTTTAATCATCTGTTTGAAAACCTCTCACTGCCTGATGTGTTTAAGCTTTAAAGACTGAAAATCCTGTTCCTGTTTTGAGCTGCTGTTCAAAAGGATAAAACCTAGAAGGCTTCCCATACAGAAGATTTCTTACACTGAGTGCAGCAAAGTGGCAAACTTAACAGAGCCGTGTTACTGCACCAACTGCTATAAGGATAAAAGCAAACAGCAGCAATAAAGACGAGATTTTACATTCTCTTGTCTGTATTCCATCTGGTTAACATTACATATTCCCCGCTCACTGATTACATATGCAGCAGGGTGAAAGGGGGGCCGTCGACGCGAATATATTTGTGTAAGAGGCTGCCTAATTACCAGAGCTGGTTCTCCACTTCACTTAACTTTCTAATTGGCTTGCCTTTTTGGCTGCCATTAATTACAAGATTTCATATTCCATTAATGATCGGGGGGAGAGAGGCACATTAACGTGCACACACACATACTTACAGTATACATCCAGATAGACACACACACACGCGCAGGCACATACTGACACCTACGCACCAACGAGCATGAGCACACGTCTCATTTTCTACCTCTCATTACGCTGTGTGATTCTGTGTGTGTCTGTGTGTGTGCGTAACCTGTGCCCTACAAGAACTTTTCCTTTACTAAAAGGCACATCAAACCCTTTTTTCCCAACAACAAGAAGCTTCATTAAACAATTTGTGGTCAGCCTTTTCACATACGTGTTGTCCTCCTCTCCTGCAGCATCCCTACCCGTCAGAAGAACAGAAGAAACAGCTGGCGCAAGACACAGGCCTCACCATCCTACAAGTGAACAACTGGTAAGTCGTTTCAGAGTTTACATGCAGTCGATTTCAGGGGTTTGCACCCCGAGGCTATCCAAGTTCTTAATGATCGGAATTAATGCCTGCACTCCACCCCTATTTTCATCCTACGCACACACAGAAACACACTCACACCACTTACCGAATCATCCTCACCTAGATCAATCCATCTAAAGAGATATGGCCTGGAGTGATTTTCCAAACCAACAGCCTAACTCAGCCCAAACATGAGCGTCCATGTTAATTAAGAGTCAAACTACCATCTGAAAACATCCAATAAAATCACCCAACATGCAAGTTGGATGATTTTATTGGATGTTTTTCCAGCCATACAAGAATGATTACCGAAAAAGTGGTAGCTCTGAGAGTAATTATATGGTTTACTTTGACTTATTTTGGTGTGTGTGGCTTTTTGTAGCACCTTTTACAGTGATTAACATTTGTTTTTATCCGTCGATGAACACCTCGTTTAGCATTTATCCCAGTTTATGCACCATATTGTCCTTGAAGCTAGCTTAAAGGTAATTTTGCCCTTTTCAGAGACGGTTAGTTGTGCACTTTCCACAGGTGACAATGACAGATTTGTACTCCAAATTCAGAGTTCAGTTACTTTGTGACAACAGCAGCTGCTCATTATCTACTGCTCAGTATTCTGTTAAAAATTATTTTATCTGGTGTCCACAAACCATATATCCTTTAATACATAATATTTAGCACTTTTTTCATTATGCATTTAGCATTTGAAGTTGTCCTTGTTAGTGAGGAGCGTAGATTAGAAGTGCTCAGCCTGATCACTATCCTGCCTTTGCAAATTAATGCTCTGTAAGTGCCAACTAGCTTGTTAATTGGGCACAAACGTGATCGGCCAGTGCCATAAAATAAGGTTGCTAACTAGCAGTTTTAACCTTAGGTAGCACTGCAAAAGGTAGAAAAGGGCCCTGTGTCCTTGTGCGGCTAGTCTTATCAGAGAGATGGCTATCAACACATGCTTAGTGTTATTAGCCATGTCTAATTAAAGGGGCTGGAGTCTGGCTAACTGAGGCAGGGTCCAGGCAGAGGGGCGTTTGATCTGAGCGGCCCTTAAAATAATCCTTGAAAGTATCAGTTAGTTGCTAGGTACGAGCATGGAAGTGGAGACTGCAGAGAGGCAAAGAGCAGCAGAAAGGAGAGAGAGAGAGAGCGAGTTAAAGAGCCAGACGGAGTGAAAAATAGATGAAGAGAAAGAGAGGATGATAAGGAGAGAGGGAGAGAAAGAGATGAGACATGATAAATCCCCATTACTAGCAGTCTAATGATGTTAACATTATTCCCAGCCATTGTTCAATCTGAGACCTCTGAGACAGACAGACGTTAGATTAGAGTATGGTGTATCAGTCTATGGAGAATTCATTTTATACCGGGCCAAAAATAACGTTCACACACACACACACACTCACACACTCTGGCAGAAAAAGGCCTCCTGACCAGAGGGAATCCTGTAGAGGTTATCAAATCACGTGACCCCTCTGAAATCCATGGGGGATCAATTCTTACAGCTGAGATAAAGCCAAGCTGTGTGTGTTTCTGTGTGTGTATGTGTGTGTGAGTCAGACAGATAGTCACATGAACAGTAGCTTGGTCACTTAAGGCTGACTGTGCTCTCATTCTGTTTGTCATTTTTATTGGTAGGGGGATAGCAACACACCCTGAAGGTGTGCGTGCGTGTGTGTATTTGTGCATGACCAACACACACTGTGTAAATCGTGGGAGGTTAATCTTGGTTTGTGGAAGATGTTCTATGTGTGTGCGTGTGTGTGTGTGTGTGTGTGTGTAAGAGAGGGGAACCGGGGGTGGTTAATCTAAGGGGTATTAGCTGTTAAACCCTGCATGCTGGGATCCCGCTGCCCCCTCACATTTTGTTGTATACGAATGTGTGTTTGTTTGTGTGTTTGTGTGCGCGTGTGAGTGTGTGTGTGTGTGTGTGTGTGTGTGTGTGTGTGTGTGTGTGTGTGTGCACGCTTGTCCAGAGGCATATTTCCATGCACGGTTGTTCGAGCAAGTGAGCAGTACATTGAAGCATGGAGGGGTGATTGAGAAGGAAAACAGTAAAGTTAAAAGATGAGGTGACGGAGAGATGAAGGAAAAGAAAGGGAGAGAAAGAAAGACGGAAGAAAGGACGAAGAAAGAAGAGAGATGGAGATAGAAGAGAGGAAAAGAAAGATGACAGAAGAGAGAAAGACAGATGGAGAGACAATCGGAGACAGAGAGAGGTTACGTTAGGGGAACTGCCATTTCGCAGGCGTGTTGTTGTGCTGGTTGGGAAGCCCTGTCATTGGGTGTCTCCATAGCAACCCCCGGTGATGTTACCTCCTGACCCACTGATTTGGTGAAGTCAATTTCCCTAGCTGTGATTCTGTTTGTCAGCGCTGTTGATGAACACGCGCTCGCTCACACACACACAAATGCGTGCATGTGTAAAGTCTCTCCAAGTTACACACACACACACACACACACATTTTCTCATGCGTTCACTTGCACCAAATCAGGTCTACAACTGTGACATCAAGCCAAAGAGGACTTCAGAAAGCATAAAACACTTAGTGGGAGCGCATTTCACGGTCATACGCCGGCCATCGGCCCTGGATTCATGTCAAGTGGCCGCAGATGAACCCCGGGTCATTTGCGTTTGTCGTCCCGATGGGGGGAGACCCAACAACGAAACACATGTACAACTGACAAATAAAACACACAGCACAATCCTGTTACATGTTCAAGCACAGAACACACACCCTCCCTTCCTCTCTCCAATACACACACACCCAAATCTTTTTATTTACATGTGTGCAGTGTGTTTCCCCTCACATATACACACTCTCTCATACACCCACACACTCTTACTCTCTGTTGCACACTCACACACACCATAGATGTGTTAACACACATGTCGGTGTGTATTATTGATGAGTGAGCACGCAGTAGGGCTCAGCAGATTAAATAAAAATGCTAAAGGCCAGCAAGGGGCGCAGATCACTCATGAATTATTGGCAGAAATACGCCGCACCAGGGAATCTCAATTTGAATGGAGAAAGTGCACATGTGTGTGTGTGTGTGTGTGTGTGGTAACGCATGTGCACATTTACACAGCAGAATTATATACTGAGAATGTACACACACACACACACCCAAATGCAAATACATCGCCACATCCCTGCAAAGTAGCCTATACAGCACATTCACACACAGACTTTGTAGACAGGTGAGGTCTGTACACACAGGCTATAAGAGTGTATTGTTTCACACCCATACAGGAGACTCAAACGAACTCAAACACATGCTCACCAATGTCCTTTTAATGTCAAAACACAGCTGTACAGATACACCTACAACAAACGTATTCACGTTCATTATTATTAACATATTGTGATAGCAGCAAAATGATTCTGTAAAATCCTGAGTAATAAATTAAACGCACAAAGAGAAGCCAGTATTTAACTTTGTATTTCACGTTTGTATTTCTGAATACATTCTGAAGACATGAAGGATTATATCATGCAGTAGATTTAATTAACATCTTATTATGGTTTGCAGCCAAAAAAGAAAAAAAAAAAATCCTGTTTTAAATCAAACCAGTACTGTCAGATTCACACACAGGAGCTGAAGACGCCTCAGAAAGATCAGTTTATTCCACCAGTGTCCTTCAACAGTTCAACCCGTTACCTGCCCACACATTGTCAACGAGTGAATCAGGCAGCAGCTCAAAGCACAACATGTAAAATGTCTTTCTCCGTCTTCTTTCTCTTTCTCCGGCTACAGTCAGTATCTCTCTGCTAAGTTCTCCTAACGCTCCGGTGATGTAAAAATCGATGGCGAGGTCATCAGGTTTCTCTTGTTGGCCGCCCCTCCCCTTCCTGCCTGCAATTTAATAATGCCCCTTTAAAGGCAGTGTTTAAGCCTCGCCGAGCGATTGTTTTGTCAATAAGACCTCCTTTTACGAACGTCTTAAAAGCATAGACAGGCAGAGAGCGAGGGAGGGAGAAGAAGGGAGGGAGATGGAGAGAGGTAGTATTTAAGAGGGCAGAGTGGACGGACGCTGAGGCTACTTAGGAAGGAGCGGCGTGGCGTGTACATATATGCCGCTTATCGGGTTTCCGTGAGGACGAGCTGAGGGAGAACAGAGGGGAGGAGAGAGAAGTGGGACAGGGTGGGAGGAATGAAGAACACAGGGACATGTATGGAGTAGTGACACGTACTAGTTATGTGGGGGTTACAGTGTTAAAGACAGTTTGGTAAATTTGTACATGCAGTTTTCAGGCTAATAAAGCATACTGGAATCAACAATAAGGGATCATTTGAATCTTATCTTATTTTCTGCGGCTTAGCCGTTGTTTTGTGGCAGTTACATTAACGACACACTGTTCTGGGAATGCCTAATAAAGCTACGAAGAAGTTAAGCAGGACGAGAATAACAGTCAGATCATCAGGCAGGTTTTAAACGGACGCCTGGGTCAGCCAAATACTTTGAATAGACAATAAAAGCAAACGGTGAAATCATTCTCCAAACGGTCCGTAATAAATATTCCTTACAGTTTATAGACCAAAACTGCCTCATTCAACTGACCTACTGTACTTGTTTTATTTGCACGTGTGCACAGTTTGCCAGTGCAATGAGGAGTCGTTACCAACATCTTCTGAGCACTCACGCCTGGTTTTACCTCCGGTTAATTAATATTTGTTAGGAAATCTGGTGAAACTGTGAGCTTGCTTCCAACCGGCATCTGACAAAGCTGTGATAAACTGTCGTAAAATATCCCCAGGTCTCAGAAATGACTTGTGAATCCGACCCAAGTTGTGATAAACCACAATGATCCTTTAAATAATATGAGAGAGGGACAAACAGGTAGAGTGAGATGATTTGCATGATTCAGTATGTTGACATGTTACAGAGAGAGATGCTGGAACTTGTTCGCGGAAAGCCGTCTGAGGTGTGTGTGTGCGTGGGTGTAGGTGTGTGTGTATGT